AAGTACACTGCTGAGGGGAGCAGCGGGCGGGTCAGGAGAGGTCTGTCACGCCATGTGGTCACCTCCGGGGCAGGTGGGGATCGAACTCATGAGGAAACGGCTTTAGATTCTCAGTGCTGTGCTTTAACCCGCTGCGCCACCAGGGAGGGCCTAAAGAAATTTTTTAATGTAGGGCAAGTCAAGGAACATTCTCAGTATTTGTACTGTATTTGAAGATACTTGCTAATAAAGACAACTGTATGTTAATCGGATATCAGCGTACCCTCTCTGACGCTACACACCAGGATGTTAGGCTTAAACTACCTCCTGTGCTCTCCTTTACTTTCTTTGCCATAGACCTCAAAAATCCAAATTTCTTTTCTCCCTTGTTGATATTTGCAGACTGACTGTGATGTGAAACACATTTTTCCATTTACTTATTTTTTTCCTGTACCAGAATACAAACCCAAAAGCCTTTTCTGTTTTTAGGCAGGTCTATTAATGACTTTGGGGTTGGTAACAGCAGTTCACTAAGCTTCTTCCCAGCCCTGAATGAGTCCTACTGGGCATTTATTTCTTCATTGTGTATATAAAACATCAAATGAAATCCTAACCTAAACTGTTAAATAGGCAACTAAGATTTGTGCTTGAGAAAGAAGTAGATTTGGGTTCTTGTGTAGAATCTTAACTGGGAACTGAAATTAATGAAATATTCTTTTGTGCCTTATGTAACCTAGACTCTACTTTTAATTACTGTGTACATTTATTCTTATCAATGGTTGTTTTCCATAGGACTGTGAAGATCCCAATCCTCTGATTCGAGCCTTGGCAGTCAGAACCATGGGGTGCATTCGGGTGGACAAGATCACAGAATATCTCTGTGAGCCTCTCCGCAAGTGCTTGAAGGATGAAGACCCTTATGTTCGGAAAACAGCAGCAGTCTGTGTGGCAAAACTCCATGATATCAATGCCCAAATGGTGGAAGATCAGGGATTTCTGGATTCTCTGCGGGATCTTATAGCAGATTCAAATCCAATGGTAATAAGCTTTTACAGACAACAGTATTTAAAATGTGTCCTTGTAAAGCAAAAATTAAACAAAGACATGTTAAAGAAATCTTCCCTTTGGGATGTTGAACCATAGAGTAGCTGTGGAAAACTTGATCATCCTAAATTGTCTTATTTTTCAGGTGCTTCTGAGGTGAAAACAGAGTACTCAAATGCAACAGATCTTTGTATTATATTCATCTTACTTTCCTATGAAATAAAACATTTCTTTCATTTTTCTTTAAGGAGGTTTTACTTTAAATTAATATAAAAATCATTTTTTTTAAGTTTCTTCAATTTTTTTGTGGTATTCTCTGATAAGTAGGAATAGAAGCTAAATCAAAGTTTTCATGATCAACTAATTATTGTGAAGCATTCTTCTATGGGACAAGATTCATGTAGTCAACTTGGTTATATTCTAAATGTTTGGCAACCCAGACCTTAAGGTTTTGGGACATTTTTAAACTTTGCACATGTCCCAAATGGTGCATTCACTCTGCAAGCAAGCAAAGTCATATGAATTGATTGGTCATTAGGTATTATTATAAAAAAAAAAAGTAGAGGACTATACCCTTTTTTTTTTTTAAGATTTATTTCTGGGGCTCTCCTTGGTGGCTCAGTGAGTGAAAGCACAGCACAACGCTGCAAAGCTAGCTGTAGTCACTTCAGCACAAGTTCAATCCCCAGCCAGGGAGCTGACCATATGGTGTGGCAGACCTCTCCTGACCTGCCCCTGCTTCCCTCAGCAGTGTACTTACTTTGCCATTCTACCTGTTCTGTTCCCCACTCTGCCTCTGGTGAATCCTCTCACTGCCCACCCCCCACACCTCTGGCTTCTTATACTTATAGGAATAAATATTTTTTATTTATTTACTTTTTAAGAGACACTTATTTATTTATACATATAGAACTGGGGTATGGGCCAGAGGCACAGAGGCAATGAGAGAATTCACCAGAGACAGAGTGGGGAGCAGAACAGGCATATTAGCAAAGAACACTGCTGAGGGGAACAGGGGCTGGGTCAGGAAAGGTCTGCCATGCCATGTGGGTCACCTCCCTGGCCAGCTGGGGATGGAACTCATGTTTGTAGGGCTGGTGATAGCTTGATAACACTATATCTCATTTGCCACCAGGGAGAACCTCCTCTAGTAATTTTTTTTAATTGAGGTAATATTGGTATACAGTAGCGTATATGATTTAAAGGTACAGGATCATACCCTCTAGATGTATGTTAACACACAACCACCACCTTTCTATTTTATATTCTTTTCTAGCTTAATTGCTTTAGTTAGGATTTCTAATGCTAGGTGAATTATAGTGGTGAGAGTGGGCATCTTTTTCTTGCACCATCAAATATTAGAATTTTATACAAGAAATTAATAGTTCCAGGGAATTCTGTTTTACAGAATTCCAAAACCATTCTGAGTTCCAAAACCCATTCACTAGTGATTGGTCACTGCCTTAATGGATGTTTGTACATAATAGAATTTAAATGTTTGTATATATAGCCACACAGGTTTTGAACTGTTTTGCTTCATCAAAATGTTTAAAACACTGATTAACTAAAAACTTTTGATATGGAAACCCTCTACCCTCTTATTCTGATAATGGGTATGAAATCTTTATTTTAATACTCCTGAGTGGTAATTTTGTTTCATTCTTTCAGATGCTGCTTCACTTGTGACAGCATTGCACCATCAAATATTAGAATCTCATAAAATAAATTATTACTTTCAGAGAATTCTGCTTTAGCATTTCCTCATAGCTTACTTCAGAAGGGCATCCTGGATATAAGTGCATCAGAACTTATGCAGAAATGGCTTCTGAAATATTGATCCAAATCTGAATACTTTTAAGATTATGTTGATCTTCAGATGGTTCCTAGTAGTGTAATTTGCTTCAAGTATTCAAACTATCATATTTTCATTTCTGATTTTTTTTTGCAGTTATGATGGACTTTGAAAAAAAGAATTCTCACTCTGTTAATGGCTACTTTAATCTTCCTAAGTAGATCTTTTCTGTAAATTTAGAAGAGCCATTTTAGAGAGTTATTAGGGAGTTTTGAAGCTTTGTATTAAAAGCATCTATTACAGTGCCGGACTTACGTGAGCTTGTAAGATGATGATTGCTGTTACTGAAATTATGAAGTAGACTTTATACTAAGGTTAACATCATTGCTTCAATATTAATTAAAAGGTTCCAATTCCTTTGACAATCTGTGTAAACTCATAGTAAAATCTTTTCTAAAAAAATACTTTCTGAGAAAATTAGAGTTAAACTTACTTTCAGGGTGAAGATTTTGTTAGAATGTGGGAACACTTTGGAGCTATAAAAATGGTTTCTTCACAAATACCAGAATTTTAAAAATCACATCTTAAGTCTATGTTTGCAAGAAAAATGCACTTTTTGAGTGATAGCAAATACTTTCTCTAGCCTTGCCCATAAAATAGAATTTCCTCCTTAGTTTTTTCCCCACCAAACCTGAGGCTATTTGAGGTATTTCAATGTCAGTTAACATGTTTATACTAGAATTGACCACGCCAGACAGTCTTGATATCCTCACCACATGTGCTTTGTCTTTGATCACCATCTTTGAAACCTTGCCAGTGCTGCTTCAATCACTCTGAGAGCGGTCCATAGGAATTACACCTGTTTTATTTCTGTACCCTTTCTGTCAATGTAGAAACTACTGACTTAGTAGAAAATGTATTATTTTCATTTGTTGAGAGTTCTGCATTAGTAGCATGTGCTCAGAGTTAACACCAACCTTTCCCATTGTTGTCTTTTTAAGATTCTAGTTAAAATGTCAGTTTCATCTAATTTTGAAGTTATTCAGGAAAATGTTTTATGAAAAATAATGCTTTTATTTTCAAAGTAACTGGGTATTTTAAGTGTGTGCAAGCCAACAATAGAAGCAGCATGGGGTTATGATAGTGGTATTCAACTTAGTAGGTAGAATCCAGGGATACTTGAAGCCTCTTGCAGTGCACAGGACAGCTCTCTATAACAAAAAAATTACCTATCCCAAAGAGTCAATAATAATCCAAAATTGTGCAAATTTATGTTACAGAAATAACATGTACACTTTAGAGTGGCTGGTTGAGTCCTGCTTGGCTACTTCCTTTCAAATGTGGCCTTTGCACAAATTACTTAAATAACATTAGTCTCAGTTTCCTCATGTGTAAAATAGAGGCAATAAGCGCTTAGGTTGTTTACATAACTTGGCAATTGAGCATAGGGCTGAAGTGAAAATAGTGCTTATAGATCTGGCTGCAATGAGTTGTGTTGACTCACTGAGTAATTTTTCTCTCTCCAGGGAAGAAGATGGGGGTGGTGGATGTCAGAAATAGGTCATTATAGAATTTAAGTATATGTAGGTGTATATACTATTGGATATATGTATATGCATTATAGAATGTAGGAATGTGGTAGGTGTATTATCAGTTGGCATTCTGGAGTAGCTTGTATTAAAACATGAGGTCTTAAGTTTTACTAGAAAAGGAAATAATTAACTGATACCATATAGTCATTGTATCCTTAAGGGGATGATAAATGATAGACATATACTAAGAACAAATACAATGTTGCTCTATGGTTTTAGCATGTTATTTGAAGTACCCCTAAAAAAGAGAAGTCAAGATTACAAACTGCTGGTATTTGGAAGGATAAAAATATATAAATCACCTGTATATTTCATATTGGCTTTGGTTAATTTATTCTACTGCTTTTACTTTATTCAAGGCTTCAAGGGCACCAACCAAAAGAATTGTGAAAACTGAAACATAAATCTGTTCATGCCTCAGATCTTGTTGCTGGAAATGAAAGTCCTCTAAATAGTAATTTAGTTAATAAGATAAAGCCTCTGTACTAGAAAGTGATGTCTTTCTTAAGTGAAAGTAGAGTGCAGGATAAAAATCAATCAAAGGGGCAGGGATTATTGTGAGATTTCTTATAAAAGAGCTTCTGTCAGTGATGTTCCACTCCCACTGTATACCTAGATTTACTTCTAGAATTCCTTTTTATAGGGCCATTTTTATTTTAACCACACTACAGGTCCAGCTTGTTACCTTTTAAGAAAATGAAGTCAAATTTATTTCCTCAGAATTGCTGTATATATGATAGAAATAACTTATATTGCATATTAGATTTATAGTGGAATAGTAAATCTTGCCTCTTTAAAATGCTTCTAGGATAAAATATCACTGAAATAAAAGTAGAAGAATATATTTTTTTCCTTGTGTAAATTTTCATGTCACCTCTGCCTGGAAATAATGTTTTGCTTATATTATCCTCTCCAAGCTCTGATTATTCGTTTCTTTCCCCCATTTGAAATTCACAGCTCTTAGAACTTCTATAAATGCTGGAAGGGTGGGTCATCAGTACTCACACTAGATGCAGACACAGACTTTGAGTTGATATATTTAGGCAGCAAACCTTTTCTGGCTATGCTGATTAAGTCAGTCACTGAATTTTTCTAACCTTATTTATAAATTCATTTTAAAATGAATTGTTTCTTTTATAAAATGTTTATTTGTGATAGGTGAAGTATGATAGCAATTACCTCGAAGTTGCTGTGAGGATTAATGGCACATAGTAAGTGTTAATAAATTTTAGCTGTTATTGCTTTGTGCTGCTCACTACTTTATATGTGTCTGTGTATGTGTGTAAAATAAATCAACACATAAATTGTTTATCTTAAATACAGGCTGAAAGGGCTTATAAGTAACTATCAAAGGAAACTTTGTAGTTAAGGTAGAGAAAGATTTCCTGGTATTGGAAGTGATGTATTATCTAATATGCTTTTGTAAATGTGTGTGTGTGTTTAATACCTTTTTAAAAAAAGGTAATATAGTACAGAATTCCTGAGAACAGAATAAACATTGACAAGTAAGTCACCTTTTACACTCCAGCCATACATTTGCTGTCTTGAAGTATGCCCTTTTCTTCATCTACTACAGAGTCATTGTGACTGACCTAAGTTTGCATTAAAGAGTGGGGAGGCACTTGGCTGTACTGACTAGAACCCTTGATGGGCCTATATCAGTACATTCTGCAAACAACAGTCTGAATGTGAAGATTAGGAGAGGAAAAGTGGAAAGGTAGAACAGCAGGGAGATAGTATAGTTTTCTTTTGGAGGGACTGCATTTCCTCTGCTGGTCAGTGACCATTTGTCAGTGATCTCTTTTCTCATTATAGGATTAAACATAACCCTGTAATCTTTAATTGGACTTTTCCCTATTTCCTTTCTTGTTTTAGTCTCATAAGTAGTTATTGTCTGTTCCATCATAACATACTTTGATAGCTACATTAGACACACTTGGTTTGATTTCTGTTTGTCATATTAGAATACTAAGTGTTCTATTCATCATCTTGTTTGCTTCCCCATTGCTTTTTAAAATTCTCCCAATGCTTAACTTTTCTACATTTCTTATTAAAGGATCATATATATTTACTTTGTTTTCTTTTAAGTTTGGGAGAATGTTTATTTTGCCACCAGTAACTAAAACTGGTGATACGTGTGTTGACAGTAGTAGGTGAGAACAGGCATTGGTTTTTCAGTATGGCATTTTAATCCTTTAAACTGTAGTCGGATCCATATTATCCATAAGAAATTTCTCTTTTTAAAAAGATTTATTTTATTATGCATACAAGACTTTGTATGTAAACCAGAGGTGTGGTGGGTGAGAAGATTCACCAGAAACAGAGTGGGGAGCAGATGGGTGGGTTGACTGAAATACACTACGGAGGGGAGCAGCAAGGAAGACAGGAGAGGTCTGCTGTGCCATGTGGGTCAGCTCCCTGGCCAGGGATCATGCTGATACTAAGCCTCGTGCCACCAGGAAGGCCCTCCATAGGAAATTTCTTTTCTTTGCATTAAAGCACTGAGATGATGGAGAATTGTTTCATTCTTTAGTTCAGAAAAGAGCTTCAAGCATGGTGTTGTACGGTAGGTATACCAGATAATTTTTTCTGAGTATACAATACATCTTTAATCATACTTACCAAGTAAGTCTCTGATTTTTCACTTTTGAATTTTTGTTCTTTTGCCTTTGAACTTTTGTCCTTTTTCTATTTTAAAAAAATTTTGGGGCTCTCCCTGGTGGCACAACAGGTTAAAACATTCCGCATTATGAAGCTCTCCAAAGCCACTGCAGCAAGAGTTCCATCCCCCGCCAGGGAGATGACCCACATGGTGTGGCAGACCTCTCCTGACCCACCCGCTGCTCAGTAGTTCTGCCTATTTTGGTAGATTTGCCTGTTCTGCTCCCCACTCTGTCTCTGGTTAATCCTCTTACCCACCACACCTGGCCTGTACCCTAGTTCTTTAAGCATAAATAAATAAATTTTAAAAAGTTTTTTGGAAATATTTTCTTCTGAACTGCTATCAGATCTTATTTATACTTGTAGATTATTTATAGTCAGTCTTATCTTGCTAAGTTTTAGTAACAACTGGGAACCTCCCTGCAAAATGTAGTTTTAAATTCACTTGTATAAGAAAGACTGTAGTGTGGATTATGTGTGTGTGTGTGTTTGGGGAATTTTGCAATCTTTAAATACTTGTTGGCTGTAGATTTGTTATATTAGAAATAGTCTATAATTTTGATAGTAGTTGCTTTTGTAAGTAGTATGAATGCCCAGATAGGATCCAGGTGTACTTATATTTGGTAACAATTTTTTCATTTATCATGCTACCTGTAAAAAGGATACATTTGAGATAACATTTCATTGACTCTAAGATGCCATTTATTATAATATGCATTATCTTGTATGTAGACATACTTCCGATTGGATGTGCCACTGTATGTTCCAAGTTAAGAGATGTTACTGTGAAAAGTTGTACATCTCAGTCTAAAATTTTGGTAATAAAACCTGAAATTGTATAAAACTTTGGAGAAAGCCCTTACACACATGATACCTGATTTTATTCTCAAAACTAAAACCTATGAGGTAGATTAAATTATCTACAGTTTTCAGATGAAGAAACTGAATTTTACAGATTATATGCTGTCCCAGTATTATATAATAGTTAAGTAGAATTTCAAGCTTATACTATTTTATTCTAACACTGATGATGTGATTGACAATATCACTTCACCATCATCCCTCACATGTGCACATCTCAACACACAAAATTATTTGGCTTAGATTTTTCTCTCCATTGCCTAATCTATGTATTTCATATTTAAACTTCACAGCTTTTATAGCTGTTCATATGTCTTGATTCTATTCATAATTTTAAGTGCTGTTAAAATTGTTAATATTTCAGTTAGCAAATCATGTGTGGCTCTCTACTAATGTATGAATTATTTTAATTCTGGGTGGCCCCACCACTAGGAAGCCATAGATAGCATAATTCGTGATTTAATACATCTTTTTTGAACCAGTGTATCTGTTTCTAGCTGACAACATAAAATATTCAGAAATGATTATAAGTTGAGATTTATGTATGAAGTGATCCAGAGAAGACTGATGTGTCTAAAATTGTATTATCCTTTATTATAAACTCAAGGTTATAAATTGTATTATCCTTTATTATAAACTCAAGGTTATATTTGCTTCTTTCCCAGGTGGTCGCTAATGCTGTAGCAGCATTATCTGAAATTAGCGAGTCTCACCCAAACAGCAACTTACTTGATCTGAACCCACAGAATATTAATAAACTGCTGACAGCCCTGAATGAGTGTACTGAATGGGGCCAGATTTTCATCCTGGATTGCCTGTCTAATTACAATCCTAAAGATGATCGGGAGGCTCAGAGGTAAGTGTCCTTCCAATAGTGTCAGGGTTCTTTTCTGGTTCATTAAGTTCTAATGTCTGTATTAGAATGAGGCCTATTATGTTTAGGAAGATCAGTAGCTTTTGGGGTAGATATTGGTGACTGTTATTTTCTCACTAAATTTAGGACCAATTTAGGTGATGAAGTAAACATACAAAAAATAGCTCTTCTTCAGAGATGGGTGCTTTTCATTTCTTATTTGAACAGTATAATTACCTCTGCTAAAATCTCCCTCACTTGCGTTGGACAGAGAGCCATTTAGTAAGTTTTTGAGTGTCTCTCACTGCAGTGACAGACTTCATTGTGTTAGAGCCATAGAGGCAATGAGTTATTAAGCTCAGCTATACCTTATTTCACTACTAGAGAAAGTTTGTTGGAATGAGCAAAGTATGTGATTTTGTCCTTTATAGATATGGAAATCATACCAATCTGAAGTTGAGATGTTGGAAGGCACACCTAGATTGTTCTGCTTAGCCCTTTATGAAGTTAAATTGCAAATTTTCTCTGACCATCGGAAATTAACTGCTTAATTTCATATACACACAGAGACCTTTTAGTTAACGAGTTGAAATTATCACCAAATTTTACTGAGCATTTTGTGTATGTAGATTCTGTACTAGGCAAAGTACTTTTGAAGAAATGTTGGCTTTTTATAAAGTTGACATTTTAATTATGTTAGATACGAACATTCATTAGCTTGCTGAAGCTCAGGTTACTCTAATATTAGTGATCTTCATTTGTCTGGAAAATTATTCCTCCTGGATACTTAAGAGTTTCTTCCGATCATTAGAAGCATACATTCCAGTATCATTCACATTAAGGTTTACTGGAGGGAAATAGCTAGTTTAGTAAATCTCCTTGAACTTGAACATTAGAAGAAAAGAAAGTGCAAGTACTTTTTGGAAGGTACTTTAACCTAGAACTTTATTTTCTGTTGGTCATTGGCATCTTAGAGTTTCACTTATTCAGAAAATACTTATTGAGCCCATGCTGCATATACTGATCTAGGCCCTGTGGCTATCGCAGTGTATCTGAGACTCTTTTCTGGCTCATTTCTCTTCTGAGAAATGGGACAGAAGTATGTATAATGTATATTTGTATAATATATATAGTACAGTAAATAATCTATCAGAAAGATAAATGCTATTAAGATGGCTAAAGTAGGAAAGAGATAAATACTAGGCATTTGGGGGTACAAAGCTAAGTTATAGAAGGGTTATCATGGAAGGCTTCACTGAGACAGCAGCATTTATCTAAAGAGTTGGAGGTTAGGGGGTCAGCTAAGTAGATACAGGAGGAATGGAGAGAAACAGCTTATTTACCTTGTATACTTAACTGAATGTAGTCAACTGCCTCAAGGGTTAATTTTTGATGAACCCTCAAGAGTTAAGTAAATATTTAAGATTTCATGAGGCTTGCAAGTACAGGTGGCAGCGACTATAAAGGCAAGGGATCGGAAGAGTCTTGCAGTGGTGTTAAAAGCAAACAGCCCTTTCAGAGATTCCCTTATCCTGAAGGCAAGGGTTGATGGGTAGTTTGTCAACCCATCTTCACCTGCATTGTAAAATGAAACCGTCAGTAACGAGTGAGTCAGTTGATAGCTCTCACTATGAAATAATGTTCAGAATGCTTAATTTGAGAAGACGGGCTGTGAAGCAGGGAGTCCTTACATTTTATGGTGAAACAGAAAAGACTGTAGAAATGGAAGGTAAGTGGTGTGAGCTTTAAGTTTTGGTGTAATGGATAGTTATCTTCCAATTTGAACATTCCTTATGTATCCCCAAATGCCTGTTTTCCAAGTCTGCCTGTAGTTTGCTGGAGTTGAGGCTTCTGTAAAAAAATTATAATCCAAGATGCTAATTTTCCTTTTCTCTCCTCAGCATTTGTGAGCGGGTAACTCCCCGGCTATCTCATGCCAACTCAGCAGTGGTGCTTTCAGCAGTAAAAGTTCTTATGAAATTTCTAGAGTTGTTACCCAAGGACTCTGACTACTACAATATGCTGCTGAAGAAGTTGGCCCCTCCACTTGTCACTTTGCTGTCTGGGGAGCCAGAGGTGCAATACGTTGCCCTGAGGAACATCAACCTAATTGTCCAGAAAAGGTTGGGAAAATTGAATTGGTGGTTAACTGTAATAATATCAGTAAAAGACCAGTATTAAGTTCTTTTTAATATGTAGAAATGAAACTGTTGTATGACAGAACAACTTGCCCCAAGGTCAAGAGGCTAAGTTGATTTTAGAATGTTCCTGTAATAAATGCTTAATGTTGCTGTACAGTTCATTTTCTGAAGTGTCTCCTAACAGTTAACTAGCTATTGCCTGCTTAATATAGGTCAAGCCATAGTTTACTGAGTCAGATTGTTATTTCAGCACTTCTTGGCCATGTGACCTTGAGCCTTAAAAAAAGTAAAAATAGTCTTCCAGATGGTTTTGGTTAAAGGAATATAGGGGAAGTTTGTGAGTTTTTTGCCTGATGGGTTTGCAAAGAGAGAAGAAAGGCACAGATTAGATTTAATCTTAGCTCAGAAGGATATGTCAGTATATCCCTCACCTTCCTTATCTTGTACTTATGTGTACCACAGGCCTGAAATCTTGAAACAGGAAATCAAAGTCTTCTTTGTGAAGTACAATGATCCCATATATGTTAAATTAGAGAAGCTGGACATCATGATTCGCTTGGCATCGCAGGCCAACATTGCTCAGGTCAGATTTTAAGCGCTCAAATGTATAAGTAACTTAGATCTTAAGATCTGGCTTTCAGAAAAAAAGTAGACCATGAAGTTGCTGGGTTTTTGTTTTTGTTTTTTTTTGGTCAGCACTGTTTGAGAATTATTAAAGATTGCCCACTTCCTGCATTTTTAACAGGTTCTGGCAGAACTGAAGGAATATGCCACAGAGGTGGATGTCGACTTTGTCCGCAAAGCCGTGAGGGCCATTGGACGGTGTGCCATCAAGGTGGAGGCAAGTGTCCAGCGAGAGCTGTGGTCACATTACAGGTTCTGAGCGTGATCTGTGCTCCTTCTTTGCTTTCAAATACGTCTTTAAGTCTATCAGAATTACAAAGCACATAGTGAAAATATTTTAATAAAAAGCTGTTCTTGCTTCCTCTCTTCACAGAGGGAATAATTTTGAACTCTTCTGATTTTAGTTTTAGTTTTAGTTTGATTACTTCCACATCTCTAATTAATGTGCTTGTGCTATTTACTCATTTACCAGTCATAGTTTATTTTCTGCTATGATCTTAGTTCTATCCTACGTCTCTTGTTTTCCACTGTTTTTTTGTTACTTTGCTGAGATAATAGGCCTTGATTTTTTGTTTTATCTGCTGTAGACTTGCAAAACATGCCAACCATGTTATGTCTGTAAATAAATAGGGCCAAAACAATACAAATAATTGTATTTTCTTTCTCAAACCTGACTTATTTTTTTCTAGCGCTTCTATAATGACCATTTTTTCCTTGCATTGTGTGTCTACTTTTCACTCCCATCTTCTTCCATCCTTTTAAGCATAATACCACATCTATAAATCTTTTGTTCCTAGATCCTTCTCTTTTCCAGTCCTCTGTCCTCTTGTTTGCTTACCTCTGTCTGATTGCTTTCTTAGACTTTGGACAGCCTTTATTCCATACAGTCTTGTCTTTGTTGCCTTTTCTTGTTACTGGTACTTTTTTTCATAGCATTCCTGTGTGGGGTGGGGGGGAGGATGGAGGTAGTTTGCAATAGCCTCTTCTCTGGGGATATGAATTACAGATCATTACAATTTTTTGTTTCTGCAGTTTTGAATTTAATTTTATGTGATGATTTTGTATCTGCATACAGTTTTATTTAACTGTATATCATGGATAGAACTCACTTATATTTAAGAGTGAGATAACAAAAAAGTTGATAAGACTTCTCTGTACATAGACAGCTTTCTGCTTTAGGGCAGTGAGTTAAAAATCCTCTCGAATATCCTCTTTATTGTCTTAGAAGATGGATTGGTTTCTAGCTTATTTGCAGCTTTCCACTACCTTGTAGACTACAGTGTACATCACCCTGCTCTTCATCTGTCCTTCATTTTTTCTCATTTGGACATATTTTGAAATTGGCGATGGCATCTAGTCAGTCCATATTTGTCTTGCTCCCTGTGCAATTCTGTTTAGTCAAGAGGGTTGAACCATATGACTTGTCAAGGATAATAAAAGAGTTTGTACAGTATTGACCAATACCTCATGGCAGCAAAAGGAAACATGCTACATTTGAGAAATCTGTGAAAGCCAAGTTCCCAATAGTAGACCTTCCTTTTTTTTTTTTTATTCGTATAGATAAATTGATGAAGCAGACTTCTTTTAGCAAGAAGTTTTAGCCTGGTTCTGCTTGCTCAGTTCCATTTCCGGATAAAGGCTTCCTTTGTTGGCTTTTTCTTCTATTATTTATTTATTTTTAAAAGATTTATTTATTTGTTCAGACAGAACTGGGGAACAGGCCAGAGATCTGGAGGGTGAGAGGATTCACCAGAGACAGAATGGGAAGCAGAACAGGCAGATCAATGAAGTACACTGTTGAGGGGAGCAGCGGGCGGGTCAGGAGAGATCTACCACGCCATGTGGATCTCCTCCAGGGCAGGCGGGGATCGAACTCATGTGGAAGTGGCTTAAGCTTCTTAGTGCTGTGCTTTAACACGCTGCGCCACCAGGGAGGGCTCCTTTTTCTTCTATTATTTTTCCTCCTACTTTGGCTTATCTTTCTTCTCATTTGTATTTCTTGGCTATTCAAGATGATTCTTTTCATTCAAAATGACTCATTTATGGGTATAATTTGGGGATATGTACATCTTTTGGAGACATACATTAGATAGCTCTGGCTCCATATAGCTTGATAAAATTAAGTACCTGATCTTTGCTTTTAGTTTAGTTGATGCACTTGTAAGTTTCAAATGTTTTTTACATTACTGAGTAGATCATCAGCTTTTTCCCTTATTCCTGTTTGCAGCAATCTGCAGAACGTTGTGTAAGCACATTGCTTGATCTCATCCAGACCAAAGTAAATTATGTGGTCCAAGAGGCAATTGTTGTCATCAGGGACATCTTCCGGAAATACCCCAACAAGTATGTAGAAGTACTTTACCCTTCTGCAGAATATTCACTTTGAAACTGTCTAAGAAGTATTTTTTGTAATGTAACTGGACATAGTAGGATACTTTACTAAAAATCCTAAACATAAAACTTGGTTTAGAACAGGGATTAAAACTTAGGTTATTTTTTCATGATTATTTTCTTATATTGTTGTTAATTTTTTGGCAGTATTTGATTCTTCCCCTCAGGTGTAGTCTCCATAGTTCTCCAGCACCATAGTACCTTTGCTCTTCCCTCCCTGTTTTGATCGTTTTTGCACCTTGTCCCTTGCTGTATGCCTCAGATTTGTTGTCAGATTTTTTGTCTTTTTACTGACCCTTTGTAAAAACCTGAATTTTCCTTCTATGATTTTTCAGGAGGATAGGAGCTCTAAGTATACAGGGTATACTTAGTATAATATATTAGCATATATTAAGGCTAATTTAACCAGATTCATTGGTGGTGGGTCCACATATATTCTAGGCATAAACTCAGTTTACACCTGTTGACAGGCATAATTAGTGATTGTGACCCTTCTCCCTCTCTCAGATGTTTCAGCTTGGATGCTGTTTATGGCCGCTCTATCATAAAGGCCAGGAAGGTGACAGCTACACTGTTCACTTTGTGTGTTACCCAGTACTTTTTAGAAAATTGTAGAACATGTAAACATAAATTGCCATTCTCCTTTTTTTTTTTTTAAAGATTTTATTTTATTTATTTGTGCATACAGAACTGGAACTGGGGTACAGGCCAGAGATGTGGAGGGTGAGAGGACTCACCAGGGACAGAGCTGGGAGCAGAACAGGCAGATTGATGAAGTACACTGCTGAGGGGAGCAGCGGGCGGGTCAGGAGAGGTCTGTCCTGCCATGTGGGTCAGCTCCCTGGTGGGGATCAAACTGGTGCTGCAGTGGCTTCAGAGTGCTTCATAGTGCTGTGCTTTAACCCGTTGCACCACCAGAAAAATCCACGTTTTTTTACATCATAGATTTTTAACTATTAGTCTTTTAGTTTGTGAAGCAGAAATACTTTTTTTCAGATTTGATTTTGAAAGCCAGTAATTAAGGAATCAAAGAATGAAATAAGAGCAGGCCTTATAAACATTCAAAATCTCACTTTGCTTTATAATCATAAACATATCTTGTGTTGAAGCTTCTGGTTTATTTTTAAAGGTAATATTAAATGAAAAGGCTTGTGGTAAATTAGCTTAGGGGTGGTTTCAAAATTAGAAGCACTGTTTTAACAAGATTTATTAAGCATTTTATGTGTATATATTTTACATTTAAAAAATGGTGTTTTGGAGAAAAGGATCATTTACTTTTACCACCCTTAGAAAAGAGGAGAGTTGGGCTTCTTAAGGGAGGAAATATTATCTTAACGTTCATTATTAGTCAGAGAAATGTGTCCCATTTCTGGTTTATATTAATAAGGGGTTATGACAGTTTAATTTGGGAAAGAGCTATCAAGAATATGGTTTAATCAGTGGAAGTAGGGCAAATAAGCATGCTATTTAGTTGTCTACATCTAATTTATTAGCAGTGTCATTCTGAATTTTGTTTAAAGCTGCACCAGCCAAGGACATCCATTCAACATGATAAAAATGAGAGCACTATATCGACCTGTAAAAATAAAAATAAATGTTTGAATTGTTTCTTTGAAGAAACTAGGTATTAGTGTAGCTGCCTTGGGGCATAGGCATCAAAAGCTTTGTAAAAAGCAGAGATTGTAGATTAAGGGGCAAAGTTATGATTTATAGTCTGGATGATGTTGTCTTAACTCCATTTTAAAAAAAGTGGGATTTCTGTTTCTCTGTTGCTAAGCAAAATGGAATAATGGATAGGAAAATTCTCTGATCTAGAAAGATAAGACTGTTACAAAATAAGATAGTGATATTATCTTTTTTTTTTCTTATACCACTGGTTTAATTTTCCCTCATGAAGAAATATCTGCTCAGTTTTATGAATTTTAAGTTCTAGTTACTAAAACAATTGAAGGGAAATTTAAAACATAATTTCCTGATTTAAAGCCTCTACATAATCTTTCTTTTAAGCTTTGTTTTATTTATTTATGCATAAAAGAACTGGGATGTAGGTCAGAGGTGTGGGGGTGAGAGGATTCCCAGACAGACTGGGGAGCAGAGTGGCAGTGTATTTCAGTAGCCAAGGAGAACACAGGAGAGGTCTAGTGTGACATGTGGGCTAGCTCCCTGGCAGATATTGAAGTTATGTTGAACTCATTTGCAAGGGCTGGGGATAGCGCAATAGCACTGAGCCTTTTAACTCCTGCACTACTGGGGATACCTCAAAGCCTCTACATACTCTTGACTCACAATCTTTATAGTTTGATGGTTTGGTTTAGGGTAACTTACCTGTGGTTTTGCCTTTAGATTTCATTTTTAAATGTTGTTCTGAGTTCTGCCCTTGTTTTATCAGGTATGAAAGTATCATTGCCACCCTGTGTGAGAACTTAGATTCGCTGGATGAGCCAGATGCTCGAGCTGCTATGATCTGGATTGTGGGAGAATATGCTGAAAGAATTGATAATGCAGATGAGTTACTAGAGAGCTTCCTGGAGGGTTTTCATGATGAAAGCACCCAAGTAAGTTCTCAGTTGTATCCTATGTCGTAGATCATTTGGGGAAGATTTCAGGGAATGTATAAAGTAGGTAGTTTTTTTCTTGTGATTGTATATGTGGGAAAATAAAAAAAAAAAGCGTGTATGTGTGTGTATAGAACAAACCTGCATAATTCAGATCAGTGGTTCTCATTCTTAGAACTTAGAAACAATTGAAGCGCTTGTTAAGGTTGCTGGACCCCGTCCCTTGTTTTTTTTTTAAAGATTTATTTATTTGTGCATACAGAACTGGGGTACAGTCCAGAAGCTCAGGGGCAGCGAGAGGATTCACCAGAGACAGAGTGAGGAGCAGAACAGGCAGATGGACAAAGTACACTGCTGAGGGGAGCAGCGGGCGGGTCAGGAGAAGTCTGCCGCGCCATGTGGTCACCTCTGGGGCAGGCGGGAATTGAACTCATGCGGAAGCGGCTTTAGATTCTCAGTGCTGTGCTTTAACCCGCTGTGCCACCAGGGAGGGACCCCCGTCCCTTGTTTTTGACTTAGTAAGATGAGATGTACCAAAACATCTGCTTTTCGTACACGGGTCAGGCGGATGCTGCTGCTGCTGCGCCCCTCCTGCTACTCCTTTAGAACCACACTCACAGCTACTGGCTTAAAGTAGTTGTTACACTTTCTAATGAAAATTTTCTGTGGTCCAGGAACAATTACTATTTCTGTTAGGGATGGCTGTGGCTTATTACAGCAAAGATTTTCAAGCGGGACTGGGGTATGGGCTGGCATGTGCAGTTAGTGGAGATTCTCTCTGGATGGTTAGTTTTCATCTCCTATCGCCCTTTACCAAAAATGAGAGATCTGACCTTAGATCCATGGACCCAGAGGACCAGATAATTTATTAAGCCCTTTTCTCCTGGTATGTGTACTCACTGCACATTGAAATTGATGTATGTAGTGCCACACACTTAGGCAGCAAAGAACACATATAATTCAATAGCTTTGTGGTTCTGTGTCCTCTTAATTATCTGTGACCTGGCATAACTACTGCTTTAGCTTTTGCCCCAAGAGCTAAAAGATGATTCCCTAATTTTCCTAAAGTTTGCGCTCTTGTTGGAAGTAAAAAAGGACTTGGTTAGGAATCAACTTGATGCCATCAGTATGTTAGCTTGTATTTTAAGAAAATATAAGTGATTATCTGGCCCAGAAACAAATACTGTTTTTGATACCAGAATCAGAGGCTATAGTGAGTTTTTAGTTGCCAAATACCTTTGGATGCTATTATTGATATTGACCTAGTTTTAAGCCTTAGTCTTTTAAGGTCAGAAAGACCACATGGTAATTCATAGTTGGAGAAATGACAAATTTGGAGATGATGGCACTGAAAAATCTAAATGCTTTCACCTTATCTACTAAATTATGTCTATTTAGGTGCAGCTAACTCTGCTTACTGCCATAGTAAAGTTGTTTCTCAAGAAACCATCAGAAACACAAGAACTGGTACAACAGGTTTTAAGTTTGGCAACACAGGTAAGAAAACTGAAATTGTAGGAAATTTTGAAACACTTCCCAAGAAGGTTCATTTGGGGAGGTTTTAATTGGAAGAAGTGCAGCTGATCATGTTGAAATATAGAAAGTGTCTAATTTTACTGAATTTGTAAGTGGTTTTATGACTTTAAAATGAATTGACTTATGCCAATTTTCTTGATAATTTGTGAAAATTTAACTTAAATTCTTTAGTGTTAATGAACGATACACTTCTGTAAAAGTGGCATTGATTCTCATGGTACCTCCTTCTGGGTGACTTTAATTTCAGCTTTAAATGGAAAGTAAACAAATAGAGATGACAGATGTCTCAACAAAGATCTCATCTATTGTTCTGCCATCTTGAGTGGTGGTTTTTCTCTTTAAATAATTTTAAAGTGCGCTATAGCTCTGTCTTAATTATATGGTAGTTCTGGTCTCCCTTGGGCGGTTTCTAATTTCAGGAATGTGGCAACCATGCTTAACGATCAGGTCACCATTTTAGATACAATTCAGAAATCAAAATAATAATTTTTTTCTAGTATAACTTTTAAATGATCATCAATCTATAATGATTTAGTAATGTTCTTAACTGGATTTGAGAATAGGCTGGCTTTAGCAGCCTGTCAAGAGTTAAGATATGTGTCTGTACATGGACTCCGATTCAGATACTCCATTTTACCATTTTTCTTTCTGCTTTATAGTGGTATATTACCAAAATTTGCAGCCCATTTTTTAGTACTTTTCTTAATTCTGAGCTGTCCTTTCCTGTTATTAGTCTTATATCTTCTTAAAATTTATTTATAAGAGCTCTTTAGAATGTTTTTAAAACTTCTCTTTGTAAGTCTTTTTTTGCATAAAGTCTTTTTTTGCATTTTTCACAACCACCAACTCATTGGTTACTTATTGTTTTAAACTGATTATTGTAAACTTTCTATTGCACATTAGTGTTAAAATGTATTAAAAATAAGTTTCTAAAGAGAGTTTTGGCCTGTTCTCTCTCTGCTCACCTTTAAATAAATGGTTGTAGTCTTAACATCAAATAGGTATCCTTGATAGATTTCACTGTTCTTAATTGTCTCCATGTGTCTGTTCTTAACAGGTGGTATAAGAGAGAGCTGACTTTGATTTGATTTGGTTTTTGGCTTCTTATCAAGGGTTCAAATTCAGTTTCCCAACATTTATCAATTACTCAATGTCTTATTAAAAATTGTCTGAGATAAAGTGTTAGAGGGAGTATTGCTGAAAGGACTCATTACAGATACTTAAAATCCATTACTGAATCAAGCTAATTAGCAAAGAGCTGTATATCTAGATTGCATTGTATTTCACCCTTAATAGAATTGCTTTTACAATGATATCATCAGCCCATAGTAAAGATTGCTATATTTTATATGATTGCCATATTTGTGTATGTCATCAAAGTCATTTATTTCATTACATGTTTTCTTAATGATGCGCCACCAAAGTTTTAAACACCAAGTGCTTTAAAATTATATTGAGTCTATATAAAATCTCCTTAGTAGTCGACTCTGCATAAACACTACTGCATTTATTGCCTTGATAATAAATCAATAGCTTGGTTTCTGTTTGGAGAAAAGTTTGATTTAAGTTTTCTTGCTTTTGCTTTTCGTTAGGATTCTGATAATCCTGACCTGCGAGACCGGGGCTACATTTATTGGCGCCTCCTCTCAACGGACCCTGTCACAGCCAAAGAAGTAGTCTTGTCTGAGAAGCCACTGATCTCTGAGGAGACTGATCTTATTGAACCAACTCTGCTGGATGAACTAATCTGCCACATTGGTTCCTTGGCCTCGGTGTACCATAAGCCTCCCAATGCTTTTGTGGAAGGAAGTCATGGGATCCATCGCAAACACTTGCCAATACATCATGGAAGGTAAGCAGGTAAACTAGGATTTAAATATGAGCAAGACCAACTCCATCTACACAGTCATTTTAGTGAAAAATGACTGTGTAGATGGAGTTGGTCTTGCTCATATTTCTTAGCCTGAAAAAAGAACTTGCTGTGGTTTTTTGTTGTTTTTTGTTTTTTTTTCAAACTTAGTGTACTACCCTGGGGACTTCATCTGAATATCAGTGATCCCAGACACAGTGGGACCCCACTGTGTGGTAATCCAGTAGATAAGATTGTGGCTTTAGAAAGTTGTAGTGGACTTTCTAAATTGACAGCCTTTGAAAGGTGCTTACATCTACTGTAAGAAAAATCTTGAAATCTTCCCAGAGTTGAAAACTTGGAAAAAAGCCTATAGTACACTTTGTTATCTTTGTCCTTTAACGAAATTTCATTGAAACTTATGGCTAATGTTAAAATATAAAGCTTCTCTTATGCTAGCTGTTATTGAAATATGTGCAGGATATTTAATAAAAACAGCCTAGACTCTGTGTAGATTTAGTTTTTCAGTTATTTGTACCCTTTTTACCAGATTAAATTGTATCAGTAAGGAAATTCAGTTATAAGCAGGTACTCAGGTAACAGGACTCTTGCTTAATAACTTCAAGCTATAGCTTTATACCTTTATTTTGAGAAGAGCAGCACTCTTATAAACTCTCTCTCTCTCTTCAAAGATTTATGTTTTTATACATGAAGAACTGGGGTGTAGGACAGAGGTACCGGGGGTGAGAGGATTCACCAGAGAGAGAGTGGAGTGCAGAGCATGTGTACTGACTGAAATACTCTGCTGAGGGGAGCAGCAGGCAAGACAGGAGAGAAGTCTGCTTCACTAGTGGGTCAGCTCCCTGGTTGGGCATTGAACTCATGCCTCAGTGGCTGGAGATAGCTTGATAGTGCCGAGATTTCAACCCTGTTCCACCAGAGAGGCCCCATATAAATTCTCAACAGTAAATATCTTGGAATCTTTACAGAATTTCCTTCCTTCATTAATCACAATAAACCTTAAAAACTCAGTAGAATTTGATCTCAGAGTGGTTAGAGCAGTTGCATTTCCATTAATGAGTGTCTCGTACCATTGTCTTATATATATTTAAGTGGATTATTATGTAGAATTTATTGCCTTACAAATTGGTGTGTCATTACTTTGAGTTCTGTTTAGACAGACTGTGGGCACAAATAAACAGAGAAAGGCAACACTCAAGAAAAATATTATTTATCATTTATTAGTCTCTGTTTTTAATTTTTTTTTAAAGATTTATTTATTTGTACATACAGAACTGGGGTACAGGCCAGAGGCTCAGGGGCGGCGAGAGGATTCACCAGAGACAGAGTGGGGAGCAGAACAGGCGGATCGACGAAGTACACTGCTGAGGGGAGCAGCGGGCGGGTCAGGAGAGGTCTGCCACGCCATGTGGTCACCTCCGGGGCAGGCAGGAATTGAACTCATGCAGAAGAGGCTTTAGCTTCTCAGTGCAGTGCTTTAACCCGCTGCGCCACCAGGGAGGGCCCCTCTGTTTTTAATTTTGGGGCAAGAGCTGTGATCTTCAACCAGAAGAGACTTCTGACTTCGTAAGGATTAGGCTTTGTAAGAAGTTAAGGCATTTCTCCTTGTGGGCACATGTATAATAACATGGTCTACATATGACCACTTAACTTTTAAGTACATCTCCTAGTCTATACTTCTAGTTTTGATAATAGATAGGAATTTTCTGATTAATTTGCCTCTGTAACCATAGTTATTTGCCTTTAAGTTATACCTTTCTCTTGATAACTTTGACTCTTGAACAGGAGGGGTGGAAGAATAAAACAAACAACAAAATAGCCCCTTCTACAATACAAAGAACACATCTCTTATATAAGGTCTTTGATGAATAGCCTTCAGTTTGTTATCTTTACAGTTCCTTAACTGGTTCCTTTTTGATAATTGGAACTACTTTTGTTTTTAAAGCATGCACAAATACAGAAAGATGTCTTTTGAAATAAATAAGGAGAATATATTACAGTAAAAGGCATGTCTATAATAGCTCTGGCATTACGTAGGTCTTTCTGCAGCATAAGGTTAATCAGCCATATGTCTCTGTCATTAAATATAGCAACACTTCAACACCTTTTTCTGCCCCTTCTAGAGGTTTAAAAATGCTTAATTCACTAAATCTTTAAAAATTACTTAGGGGGCCTTCCCCAGTGGTGCAGTGGGTTAAAGCACAGCACTAAGAAACTAAAGCCACTTCAGCATGGGTTGGATCCCCATTCTGGAAGTGACACACATGGCAAGCGGTGTACTTCGTTGATCTGGCTGTTCTGCTCTCCACTCTGTCTCTGGTGAATCCTCTCACCACTCCTGCACCTCTGGCCTATATACCAGTTCTGTGTGCATAAATTAAATCTTTTTTTAAAAAAATTACTTAGGAACAGGGGAAGTACTTTTACTTGAGTATTGCTTATTATAATACTTGTCAGCTACTCTCTGGGGATGAGGTAGTAAGTAGTTGTCTAATTTAGAAGTCTCAGCTTAAAAATACTGCTTTTATGACACTTATGCAGTTATTTCCCATCAGTTCACCATGGAAAACAGTTTCATAATGATTTACCGTGTTCTTAAATTGCAGAAACTATATGATCATTTACTTTTTTTAAAATCTAACTCACTTTATCTCAGTACTTTTCATATAATGTTACTATGATATGTACTGTTACCTGTTCTGCCTTCTGCTTAGAGCTTTATTATATGTTCTGCCACTTTCCTAAATTACACGTCATAAGATAATGAATTTCATGTGCAGAGAACAAATAGCCTTATTGACGATTTTGTCATTTCTCCTTTGACTTTATTATTAACTTTTGGCTATGTTTTCCCTCTTCCCTCATCTTATATACTTCTCATTTTGGCTTCCTTGACTCTTTCCTCTTAAGTCTGTTTTTTTATTCTTTCAGTTCTATCTTCATTCATTTTCTTATCAGTAATCTTAGTTGTACTACCAGGCTCTGAAACTTCTCTTTTTGTGTTTCTTTCTCTGTTCCCTTAGAGACTATCTATAACCTCAGTTACCACTGATGCATTACTAAGTTTTACAGTTTACACCATGTTTTCATTTGATCCTCCCTAGAATAGAACCCTGTGTTTTGGTTATCATTTCATTGATAATGGCCCCTTTGTCTCAGAGAGGTTATCACTTGTCTAAGAGCATGCAAGTAGTAATCAGTGGAGCCAACGCTTGATCTTAGTTGTCTCATTCTAAACTCCCTCTTACCACCACATATTTGTTACTCTGGTGATTTCATCAGAGATATGTGTTTGAGTTTCTTCTCAGGTTTACTTCTCTGATACCAGATTTGGAAATGGTATATTTTCTTATCATTCTTCTAGACTCCTCTCATAGGGGTCATCACTAGTTTTTTACTTCCTAGTTTTTTTTTCCCCATTAAATCCCTGCAGCTTCATTCTTTATTGTCTTCTATGTTCATTTGTATATATCAATCGGATTAATTTTTTTAAAGATTTATTTACTTATGCATACTGAACTGGGTGTAGGCCAGAGGTACAGGGGTGGTGAGAAGACTCACTAGAGACAGAGTAGGAAGCAGAACAGAAGAAGTACACTGCTCAGGGGAGCAGTGGGCAGCCTAGAAGAGATCTGAGGTGCCACGTGGATCACCTCCAGGACTGGGGAGGTGGCTGTGGCTTGCTTGCAGTTCTGTGCTTTCATCCATTGAACCACCAGGGAGGGACCAGTTGAATTAATATTTAATGAATGTTTTGTACTGTTGCCATATATATTGTTATTTAAGTGGATTATTCTGTTAAAAGTTTCTATAAGATCAGTTTTTCTTTTTTCTTAAATGTTTGGAAGAATTCATAGTGAAACCATCTGAGCCTGAAACTTTGTGGGAATTTTTCCGCATTTTCAAATTGATAGCTCATTTATAATAAGCATAGTTTAAGAGTTCCAATGCCCTAGTCATTTACCGTAGGGCTCTTAAAATAATCTTAGTATTAAGTGTACTAATCTTTAGTGTAATGGTTAGTAGATTTTTTACATATGTATACACTCATATAACTACTACCTTGATCAGAAAGGATATTTCCAGTACCCCAGAAATTTTTTTAATGTCCCCCTTGCTATCCATCCTTCAGAGATAACTACTGTATTGACTTCTTCCACTGTGGATTAGTTTGCTTTCTTGAACGTCATGTAAATAGAATCATATTTATTCTGTATCTGGTTTTTTTTTTTTGCTCAACATAATGTTTGTAAGACAAACCTATATTGTGTTATCAGTAATTTTTTTCTATTAGATAGTATCCATTGTCTGCATATGCCACAGTTTATATCTTCCCCTGTTAATGTATCTTTGGGTTGCTTCCAATTTGGGGCCTCTTATTTATAAAGCTGCCATGAATATTCTTGGATCTGTATTTAGGTGCAGAATTGTTGAATAGCTGTATAATTGTTGAGTAGATATATATTTAGCTATAGGAGACACTGCTAGTTTTCACAGGTGATTTTAACAATGTACAACCTTTCCAGCAATGCTTAAGAATTAAAGGTGATCCATAGCCTCAGTAGACTGGATATTTTTAATCATTTTAGTTTTAGTCATTCTGACAATTGTGTGTTGGTATCACTTTATGCTTTAATTTGCATTTTCCTGATGATTAGAGCTTCTAAGTACCTTTTCATATTTATACACTGCAAGTATATTTTGTGACTTGCCTGCTCAAGTCTTTTCCTTAATTTTTAGTTAATTGTATTTTCTTTGTAGGAATTTGTTATATACAGGTCTTTTGTCATATGAATATCTTTCCCCAGTCTGTGAAGAATACCTTGTCTGACTTTTCTCTTGATGTTTCACTTGAAAAGATGTTCTTAATTTTAATGAAGTTCAATTCATTCATTTTTTTCTTTATGGTGGTTTTGTAGAACCTTTTGTTTGCTGCATGGTCTAGGTCCTAGGTTTTCTTTAAGGTGTTTACTCTTTAACATTTATATCTGATTTCATCCCTTAATTTTCACTTTGAGGCATAAGGGTCAAGGCTCATTTTTCCCCACACAGCTATCCAGTCAAACTAGCACTGTTTATTAAAGTGATCATTTTAATAGCTTTTGGAAAACACCACTTTCTTTGAGTTTTTATACTGAGATGCCAGTAGCAATTTAGACTTTTCAGGTCCATTCTCCCAACTTCAGTCCATTATACACAAACTGCTAGAGTAATGTTCCACTAATGTTATTTTAAACTCTTTATTCAACAGATAGAAGTGATTCTGCATTGCTTGTCATAGAAAATTCTCCAGACTATGTTTCGAAGTTGTTTGTCCTCATCTTCTCTCTCCTTGAAATTTTACCAGTCCCAGTTTCTGCTGCCAGTATAATTTTTGCCACTCCTAAAATCAAATTATTCCTTTTTGTTCCTTTGCACAAACCTTTCTGCTAGTTTCTCATAACTATAATGTTTTTCTTTAAAATCTTGTCATAATATCTTTCTCACATTTTTTAGATTTGGTCCGACTCGTTTTGTCTTGCTTCCTGATAATATGCAGTCACACAGTACTTGTGTCTGCTGTTACACAGTGAATATGCTTCATTCGTGCATTCATTTTGTGAATGTTGATTTGTTTCTGTTACTGAGTAAGTTATTTGAGGGTATGAAATTTATTTTCTTTCCCCATTAAAAAAAAATTCCCCAGATTTCTCATGTTGCTTCCTCATAGAGTAGATCTCAAAGTTGACTAATGAAGTTGTATGATAAACATTTATTTTCATTTTGTTCATTGTGTTCTGTTTTGATAAAAACAAGAATTGCAGTCTTTTCTTGTACATCAAAAAATAATTACAAAACAAGAGGGTTTTTTTTCCTCCTGTGTTTTATATGTCTGATATTCACTTGTTGATTTATGTTATTGGTGAACCTGACTTTTCTCTTTTCCTCTTTATGTGTGTGACTGCAGCACTGACGCGGGTGATAGCCCTGTTGGCACCACCACTGCCACCAACCTGGAACAGCCTCAAGTTATCCCCTCTCAAGGTGACCTTCTGGGAGACCTGTTAAACCTTGACCTTGGTCCTCCAGTCAATGTGCCACAGGTATCCTCTATGCAAATGGGAGCAGTTGATCTCTTGGGAGGAGGACTGGATAGTCTGGTAAGCTTCTTCTTTCTCTTGGTTATTAAATACTTGATATTAAATTCAGCTTTAAGTTATTCAGTTCTTTAGAGCTAGACTTTCCCTTGATGAGCAGAACAATGCCCTTTAATAAAAGACAGGATTATTTCTTCAGAGAACAAATATATACAGTGTGGGATATGTCTGTAAGTGAATAGGATTACTTTGTTGTCCTGCCCTAAACAGAACTTTTAATGTTTATCTGTTCTTTTAACGTTAACTATCCTAATGTTAAGTATTGTTAATATTTAGTTTCCTTTCTAGACCATGTTATTGCTCCTACTTCAGCCCTGTAAATTTCCCTTTTGACCCAGACAGCATTTTAAGTGATGACATAAAAATCACCCTATCTTGAAATTTTTTCAAACTTTGCCTTGTTTATATTTTATTGGCTTATGCCTTAATTCCAAAAGTTTTCAAGGTAGAATTTTGTTGAAAAATGAACACTTACTCACAATTGGGAAGTACTGCTTGATTGGGGTTTTTGTTTTTTGTTTTTTGGTTTTTTTGCTTCTTCCACCATAGCCTCCACCTTGTCGTACTTCCAATTTAATTAGCTTCCAGGATTCTAATACTTAAAAGGCTCCAAAGTCCACAGTCTACAAATAGGTGCCACCACTGGGAACAAAATCTTGTTTTTGTTGCTGTGTAAGATAAAGGAAAAATGCTAGGGATGACTTTAATCTATGTAGAGAAGGACAGAAAAATATCAGATGTAATCCACTGACTCTCTGAAAACTAGGTACTTAACTGTGGTGGAGGGACTTTAGAGCTAGATATTTGCAAATAAGATGTTTATCAACTTGATGACTATAAAGATGCCCAACAAACTGTTTTGGTTCCCTTCATCAGAAATTAGAAGACTGATGCCATAAATAGGGTAATATGTGTTCTCAGAGATTTTGTAAAGAGGATAGCATTACTTTCCGCTACATATGACAGCATTTTCTCTTCATCTTATAAATTGTATTTTATCTGGGATTTATACCAGTCAGTTTAGGTACATTTACTTTTTGACTGTCAGAAAGTCTTAAGGAAATAGGGTTACAGTCATCTCTCTGGGTCACATATTTTACTAATGGAAAGTCATTGCTTTCAAAGTCTGTACAATGACCAAACTCTGGACTCTTGCTTATAGGTTACACAAGTGAGAATTACTTATTTTGTCTCTTAGGAATATAAGCGTTTGCCTTTTTTACCCATATCTTCAATGAAGAGAATCGATTGATCATGTAAGAAGGATGGCTTTCTCATATCAGCCTCATATAGACTCTTTATAGACACAGGAGATTTAGAGAAGCATATTTAAATATTTATGGAAATTCTCAAAAATCCCCTTAGAAACATTACATTAGCTCTTGCTAGTCTGTTAGTATATTGACCATAAGTTAAACGTTACATCCTCCTCGATATTAATACCTGAACAACCTCATTACTGTCCCTAGTAGCTTATGACATGGTGGACTCATTGAACTTAAGAATGACAAGAAATTAAGTTTAGAGGATTAACGGAGAAAGAGGTTCAATGTTGTGATGTTGCCTGGGCCAGGATACTTTGTTTTTGTCTTTTTTCACCCACTTTAATATGGAAGAAAAAAGACAAAAGACACATTATTTCCTTTTGGTTTTGTTGGCCCCTACCACCAATGAGATTTTTCCTGTCTCTTATTTATTAGAATTTCTGCAAGTATTTCTTCAAATAGAAAAGCTGTTAGAACCTTTTGAGATTATAGTAGTCCATTTCTTTCTTTGTAAAACAAGTTCTTTTGGAAGTGGGGGTAACTTTCTATTCAGTTGGATTTCTAAATAATATACAACTTTAGCTCTGCAGGCCCAGTAATGTTCCTTCGTAATGCTAAATTTTAGATTTTGTCTGAGTTTGGAATTTAAAAAGGTGTACTTGGTGTTTTAGCCAAGTTTACATGCAGTTTTCTTCAACTTACTCTGGGTACTAGACACATCCCAGAAGTTAAAATGAGGAGTAAAAGCCCATTTTTTGGATTTGAATCTATATGTGACTGCATATATCTACTCAGAGAACCAAAATTCCCTTTAGGAATTTAGGAAGTCCTGGCTGTGTGAAGATGCATTTCTAAGGCAGCAGTAAGTTGTGCCACTTCTTACATGCTTTTTTGTTTGTATGTGAATTATCTCACGAGAAAAACAAAGTTTTTCTTAAAGTTCTTACTTAAAGTTCTTACTTAATCTGCGTATTCACCGGTTAAATGAATCCATGCTTTGAAACAGTGTTTCTCAAACTATATTAATACATTAAATGTCCTAGAGATCTTGTATAAGACAGATTCTGATTTCATTGTTCTGGGGTGAGGCCTAGGGATCTGCACTTTTTAACAAGACACCAGGCCTTTGTAGCAAGTCATAAAACATCTGATCATTATGAAGCAGCACCAGTTTGGTGTTTGGACTATAACTAAGACAGTCCAGATGTCTTTTTCTCTTGCTGTTAGTAGTAAACACACGCCTAGCAAGAAGGATCCTTCTCTGCTCTAAGTTAATTGATAGAGGACAAGAAACTCTTAAAACTATTTTGTTGAAGAGCTTCCTTTTACCCTCTACAAAGAATAGTGTTCCTGGGGCTTGTGGAATTTCCATTTAAAATATAGCCAGGTCCCTGGCACAGGGGTTAAGTTTCAACACTATCGTGCTATCACTGCTGGGCCTGAGTTCACTCCCCAGCCAGGGAGCTGATCCACATGACACAGCAAAACTCTTCAGGCTCACTCACTGCTCCCCTCAGCAGTGTATTTCAGTACTTCCACTTGTTCTGCGCCCCACTCTGTCTCTGGTGAATCCTCTTATGTCCAGCACCTCTAGCCTACACTCCAGTTCTATAAATAAGTAAATTCTTTAAAAAAAAAACAAACAGGCCCTCCCTGGTGGCGCAGCGGGTTAAAGCACTGCACTAAGAAGCTGAAGCCACTTCCACATGAGTTCGATTCCTGCCTGCCCCGGAGGTGACCACATGGCGTGGCAGACCTCTCCTGACCCGCCCGCTGCTCCCCTCAGCAGAGTACTTCGTCAATCTGCCTGTTCTGTTCCCCACTCTGTCTCTGGTGAAGCCTCTCACCGCCCCTGCGCCTCTGGCCTGTACCCCAGTTCTGTATGTACAAAAAAATAAATCTTTAAAAAAAAAACAAAACTATAAAATAGAATGTAATATGACCAGGGTTGAGTTACCCAGAGTTCATGTCAGAAAGGCTATCAACAAGGCTCCTAAATTGTTGCTTTGTTTTTGGTGTCTAGCAGAGCTTTACCCATAGAGGTCAGTGGTGTGCTGTCATAATGAAACATGGCAGCTGCTAACCTAGACTTGTGGTATTTTTAAAACAATAGCCAGTTATTCTTATTTTGCAGCCAAGGTTAAAAGCATTGAGCTAAGTGAAATTTCAAATAGAGTTAGACAGACATGTTAAAAAATTGCTCTCAAAGCCAAGACAGTAATTTCCACAGAAGAACCATGTTCTAGTGAACTTCTTTGGCATCTTCTCCAAAGACAGTCTCTCTGACTTTACTGTTGTTCATTCCCCCCAGAATATTTTCCTATTGTGGTTTGCTGTTAGGTGATCCCACATCTCAGAAATTGCCTCCAGGAGTTGAATTTGACCAATTTAGATTTAGTTGCTCAATCCCAGGGGGTTTTTTTGGTTTGTTTTTTTTTTTAACTTATTTTTTAGTTAAGGTAATATTGACTTAAATTATGTTGGTATTTTGGAAGGGTGAGATCCCCTGCATCAGGTGTCTCCACCATAGTGCACCTGCCCCAGTTCCTTTTTTATCCTTGCTCACTTTGCCATAATTGAAGACTTAAAATTATTTTGTATTTTGGGTTGTCTATTCATTTTCCAATACTTCCTTCAAACTACTACTAGAAAATACTCTTACTGTATATATCCTGGTGATCTTCTCATTCATTCTTGTTTCCTCTTTTACTACCATAATGTGAAATTTTAAGATTTAGTGAATTACATTTTTTTCTAGACTTCTCAGTCAGGAAATACTTAACAACTTATTCATTCATTATTATTTTTGCCAGAACTTATGTGAAGGCTCCAGTCTTCTTCTGTGCCATAGAGTGGCTCATACCAGCTGTGCTTAAGTCAAAGGAGAAGGAGGTGGAGATAGTGCTATGGTATTAAAAAAAAAATGCACATGCACACATACTCATTCAGCCTCCCTGGCATCATTGGTTTAGCAAGATCTTCAGAGTTCAAAAGACAGGGCTCAAAATGGATTTCCTACATATTCTCATTTTTTTTTTTAAGCGTATGCTTCTCAGTCTCCCTACTGAAACATCCTAGCCTTTTTGCTTGCTCTTTAACATATTCTCTTTTGCTTTAGTTTACTCCTTCCATTGTTATAAACTTAACTGTCACCTCGATATGGAATGAATCCAGGTCATGGAATTTACATGGTTTATCTGTTCTATATATAGAGCATAATATCTTACACTACTTACATGGAGATTTGCTTTTTATCTTTTCTCCTTTTGTTTTAGAGGCCATATATGTATCTTTTGATGCTTCTGGTATTGAATCTAAGAAACTGCTTGTTTGGGGTGGTATGACTTTTCTTGCAGTGCAGATCCTTCTAGTTAGTACAGTGTGGGAGATGACCTGATGCCCATGTTCATAACTCATGCAATACGTGTTCTAAAGATACACTGTGTGCCAATGAATCTGACATCTGTGAGGATCACTAAAGTAATGATTCAAACTTGATTGTCTGTTGTTTTTGCTTTTGGGATGTCAACAGTGGCTTGAGCAAAATTATGGCCTTTTGTCCTCCGTGGTGCTGTTTAGATAAATGATGCTATTGTGCATCAAAAATGGAAAGGAAGCATTATCCACAGTGCCCTGTCCTGCTGACAAAGGGTTTCCTATTAGAGAAATTATGCTTTCACTATGCCCAGATAGAATGGAATGAAGTAGAGGAGAAATTGCCTTTTCTTGAGTTTGTGT